AGCTTAATTTGAAAATTAGAATCACATGGCGAATGTAGACTGAGCTTTGTTAAATGAGTTTCTGTAAACTTGTCACTATTGAAGTCAGTTAGGCAAAACATATATAATCTTTCAGATATCATTAACTATTCACTATTAAATCACAAACAAATGCCACTGCATTAATAAAAGATTAAAACTTTATTATTAACAAGTTGAAATTAAGTTTCTGCCCAATTCAAACCCTTCTGGGCGATATCAATTTCTATTTACTGAAGTACGTAGAAAAGCACTTTATCTCACAATTGCTGCACAATTAATGCGGCGATAAATCAGAAAAATTAAAGTTAAAAAAATGAAGCCCACGAACCCAAACGGTGGCACAGAACATTTAGCGCAAGCAGTTTCGATACTGTATGTAAATGTCTAAATACACTCAGGTAAGTTAGTTATCCCACAATTAAACGAAATAAATAATAAACTGATATGTATAAAGTTCCCTATAACATGAATTCAATAAGTGCAACTATCGTAGATAACTGTTTGCAAAATATAAATGTATAGCATATATTGTCGAATATGTTTGTATGCATGTATGGGAAAGTAGATTGTGGAAAAACTTATCGTGTGCCTTATTATCGGGAACTATGCAATGTGACTGGAGTTCATTTATAAAGCAGGGAGTTCGGAGGAAGTACATGCGTATAAGTATATACATATGTATGTATCTTTCTAGTTGTTGTTCTACACGCAAACAAGTGTTGAGATTCTGATAGAACAGCAAATAAAGTCGTAATCAGAACATACAGTAGAAAGTCAATAATGGCCTACACAATGGGTATAACATCTGCAACAGCTGCGACGACATTGGATTGGCATTTAGAAGAAATATATCCAGTGATGTAGCAGCTTTTTTACCCTACGCAGAGAGTTCCTTAGTGTGATGGTATGCGACAGGAAAGTGTAAAATTGATAGATACGGTATGTCCGTTTAATATTTGAATATGTGTGTATAATAAATTCAATATTTTTAAATGTTTATATAGAATAGAGCGTCCGTTATGTCCCAAGTTGATTCTCTTCTTGCTTTAAAAGTTTAAAATTTTTCACTAAAAAATACTATAAACAAGCTCTTTATTTTCAACTGAAATCGTACCTAAATAATTTTATATTTTTTCAAAGGAGTAGACCTATTTGTTAGATACATGGAAAAAGAAATATGATTCAGGCACGGTTTGAAATGAAAATAAAGAGATGGCTTACGTTAAATAATGTTTTTTAAAACAAAAAACTGAAACTACAGGATTTTTCAAAAAAATAATCAACCTGGGGAATAACAGCTACCCTAATACATTAAAATAAAAAAGGACCCGGAAATTGTTAGTAAGTTCTTCGAGTAAATGATATTTCAGAAAAATGTATTTTGCTAAGTTGGCAGCAACAGCAGCTGCTAAAGTCGGTCCACCTCAGTAGTGCGTTGCGATTTTTACAATGAATAAAAATATCAAGCAAATAATTTGTCTCAAATTTCGTGTTTCTAACCAAATTTTGTATGAGGAATCAATGCGAATGTTGGAAAAAGCGGTGATTCAGTTTTGTCAAAAACACAAACCCGCGAGTGGTACAAAGCCTTCAAAGACGATCGAGAGATCGTTGAAAACATACCTCGTTCTGGACCACATTCGACCTCAACTGATGAAAATATAAAAAAAGTGAAGAATATGGTGCTTGAAAATCGTCATTCAAGTGTTAGAGATATGACAAAGAGAGCTCGAGATCTTTAGCGAGTCCGTTGAATGATTCTGGAGGATATTTTGGATATGAAACGCGTTCTTGCTGAACTCGTCCCGATAAAACGGTATTTTTTTTTTAAAGAGTACAATTGTGGTCGAATTGAAAAAAAAACGAAACGAATACCATCGATCACCACCACATTCGCTAGATTTAACTTCCTGTGATATTATCTTCTTCCCCAAACTGAAATTTCCGCTCTGTGGAACCCGTGTGCAGTCGATCGAGGAGATAAAACAAAATTCGCTGACGGACCTGAAGAACATTGCAAAAAGTGCGTATGAAAAGAGATTCGCGGACAAAATCATTTGTATACATAAGTGCAATACATCTGGTGGGTATTACTTTGTAGTCGACACAATGAATAAATATTGATTAATAATTAAACATTTTGCGTTTTATTTACAATTTCCGGAAACTTTTTTGTGCCAATGTATATAAGGTATGTAAAACATAGAAAGATTTAAATTAATTGACCATACGGTGCCTCAAGATAAGTATCGTTTTAAGCTTTTAAACAGTTATTCGTTGAAGTTATCGACATTTCTCCAAATTTTCATAAACACCAGGTCGTGCAAATACAATTATGGACGTAATACATACATACATGTATGTACATGTAAAAATGTTCAACCCCATGACTGCAATGTACAACGACTATAAGCGATATTTGGTGGCTTATCAGTTTATTATCTAACGAAGAGGTAGCCAATGAAACAATAACAACACAATGAATGTGTTACAGTGGCTAATGCAGACATTGCAGCGGTAGCAATGGCTCTTATCTAAATAATGAAATTGAACTGTAGCCACGACAATTGCTAAATAACAAATTTAATCAAATTTATTGGAAGTCTGAAATGAAAGATTATTCCTAAAATTCTTACAAAGGAACAAATATGTATATTGCTTTATTCTGTATTTTTCATTCAATCTAAAGGAAGTAGAAAAATACATGCAATTTAATCCATAATCATTTAAGGAAGCTCCTGTATTAAACTACACATTTGGTAGAAAAAACTGCAATGTAAAATATACGTAAATATATATGTATGAGGTACTTTTTGTACACATTCGGTAAACATAAATTTCAGTTACATATTAGAAAACAGTACTGAACTTATCCAATTTTACAAAACCTTATAGGCAGATGGCTGATGAATTTTTAAAAGAAACTATTTCACCAAAGAATTACATATATGCTTCTTAGCTTCGGGTCCACCATTATTCATCTTTTGAACAGGATTTTAAACAACCACGTACCCGTTAATATTAAGAAACTATGATTACCATCTGAGTTATTTGGACATACATATATTTACAAATTGACGCATCTACGATTATTAAAAATTATTAGTAATAAACAATACAAATGTACATATTTTATTTAAAATGGTACATATATGCAGGAACTGTAGGAGGTTGCTTACCTTGTTATAAGCAATTTTTGATGAAAATATTGTCACTACACTCTACCGCCTTTGTAATGAATAATTTTTAAAGGTTTCATTATTTTTTAATTAAAACATTATAATGCACACATACAGTGTGTTTTTTTTTTTCATTTATACTACTTTATTGTTTACAAAATTTTCCCGTTTCTGTCGTTCATTATGGCACAATTATTTTAAATATTCACATATTTTATTATATTTTCGTTAAATACCATATCACCATTCATTTTAACTTTTTATGAATGTGTTAATTATATTTGTTTTTCGCGTATTTTCCGGTCTATTAATAATGAAGTTGCTTTTCGTTATCCAATTATCAGCCACGAACAAACCGAATTTAACGAACTTCTTCTTCTGCGGTCGTTTGTGTACTGTGAACGGAAAATAAAAGCGTTCTCTATATTAATACTCTCACTATACGTACATACATATGTATGTTGCACATAGTACGTTCGAATAGTTTAGTTCGCCTAATGGTTGCGATTAACAAATGTGTAAAATTGTAAAGGTATAAAGGTGCTATAACTCGCAAACTCCGATAAGTACATTCTGTAGTAATAATGAAATTTTTGCATTATAGATGAGTTCAAACTTTTACCAAAAACTTCATATCACTTAAGCAATTGGGATCACTTCTTGATACAGTCTTGAAAACGAAATCTGAATACGAAGGGGGCACTTTCTAGACAATGCGATTTTGAATACATTTCACTACGTTCCAATTTATTGGCTAGTCGAAAAAGTCTTTTCGTATTTCTAATCAAACTTCAACGTAATTTTTTTATATACATATATATATATGTATGTACTAATAAATAAATTAACAATATGTCGACCAATTTTTGCCAAATTTCCGCTAGAGACATTATTCCATCAGTGTAAATCGAAATTTCTAAATGTCCAGAATGGAAGGGAGCGAACCATTGCTGTGCTACAAGAACTATTACAGCATCGTCTCCGTAAACTTCACAAATATCATTGGTGTCTTGCGTGGCATTTTTCGTTTTTATACAAAAATTTCAAAATATAGCGAATTTCTCATTATTTTAACTCATTTTTGAACAGCTGTAACTTTTTTAACTTCCCCGAATTTAATTGGGTTAAAAGAAGCTTAAAATCGCACCTTTCCAACACTATATGTATGGCACAATATGATTGGTGACGGAGTCTGGAGACATACGACTGTAACGTAACGACATCTATTGACAAAATACGAAAAGACTTTTTCGACTACTCAATACTTATTTCATTCACAAAATTTATAAATATATGGAATATGAGCCCTTATATACCGTATATAATAATTTATACGACCTGTAAAGGTCAATATGTATAACTGAGTACGCTTTCTTAACTATAAAGACCGTGATATTCGTCTGATCATATATATATGTATATATAACAATATATCTATACCGATTAGTTTAATTCAGTCACCGTTCAGTTTTAGGACTGCATAAATTATATGGCGAATAAAGTACCCAGTTTCTTAGGGAGGAAATTACAAAATTTCAGGTTGATATCACAAAAACAAATGGACTAGTTCGCGAATAAACAAATGAACGGACATAACTTAATCGACTCAAGTCATTATACTGACCATTTATATATATTTGTATTTATATGTCTACCTATCTCAGGATATAAAAATTAAAACATATTTTTAAACTTTCGAAGAAATATATTCTGTCTAATCAGAAGAACGTAACATATGGCAACTTCATTTTTATATCATTAAAGCTGACGCGATGGCAGCTCTAAAAGTTCTCTAAAAACTGGCAACAAATTTAGTTGCAGTGAAAATTTATTAAGTTGTGCATAAATACAAAACGAATTGAATTATTTATTTAGAAAAATGGATAAACGTTCTAAAGAGGCGCTTCGGCGCTACAAAAAGTCTAGACAACAATCTAGTTCTGACAGCTCTAGTAGTACTGAATCTGATTCATCCGGAAGCTCGTACTCAAGTTCAGATAGTGAACGACATCGTCGGAAAAAGGCTCGTCAGGCAACTGGTGGCGCATCTCGCCGTTCAAGTAGCTCATCTACCGAGGAACGAAGAAAGCGTGAGAAACGTGAGCATTGTCAAAAAAAACTTGAAGCGAAGCGCATTCATCTTAAACGGAAATTGAAAGAAGCTAAATTAAAGAAAAGAGCTGCTGCTGCAGCTGCAGCTTTGAGTGGCCACATTGGTCATAGGTCACTTTCTCCTACTACTCAAGCAAAGTTAAAAAAACTTGCTGAACGCAAGCATCAACGTGCAGCAAGTAAGGAAAGACGTGAACGTGAGAAGCATCGTGCTGCGATCGCTAGGGAAAGGGAAAGAGAGCGCGAACACCACCGCACAGGTTCTCGATCACCTACAAAAATTACAAAAATACGTATTCACCAAGATGTCAAACGTCAGAAAAGCCCACCTCGTATGCATCACACAATGATGTCACGTGAAAAGATTATTATTCAAACTCGGACAAGAGAGCGTACACCTTCTCCAACAGTGGAACGTCGGCATGAACATAAAATACGACATGAAGAATTGGTAAGGGAACGTGAAAGGCGCGATCGTGAACGAGATCGGGCTGAACGTGAGGCGGCACGAGATAAAGAACGAGCTGAAGCATTAGCACGTTGTCAAGAGCGACAACGAGAACGGGAACGTTTGGCTAGGGAAAAGCTAAGGCGGGAGGAAGAGGAAAAAAAATATGGTGGGGTTGGTAGTGAACGTGGAGAGCGATTATTGCCTCGACCAGCTGAAAGAGAATTGGCTATAGCAGCATCTCGAGGTTACAATAGTCGAGAGCGTTCTTTGGAAGCTATTGAAAGAACACGACATATGTCAAAACATGATTTAGATGTTTATGAACGAGAACGTGAATACATGGAAGCTGAGAGACGTAACTTAATTAATCGTGAAGATATTCGACGTGATCGTGAATACATGCCTACCCGACGTCGTGATTTGAGTCCAGTAGGTGAACATTACTCTGCACGATTGAGAGATCCTCATGATATGTATCCAGATGAAAATCGAGAAAGGTTTGTATCTGATAACTTTTGTACTATATTATGTACTTGTGATAAAACACAATTTCTAAAGGGCTTATAATCGTGGGTATATTGAAGATGGTCATCATGGACGAGAACGCGAGGCTCCTTGGACTCGTGAAATCCGAGAACGCGAGTTACATGACATACGCGATGTGCGAGAACAACGTGATAATCGAGATCCACGCGATTTCAGAGATATGGAAAGTGAACTTATTTATCCTGATGAAAGAGAACGCCTCATTCGCAATCGAGAGCGTGTTCGTGAGGAGTGGAAAGGCGATTGGGACATAAGTAGGGAACAAGAATGGAATGACACACCACCAATAACTGGGCGCGGAGGTTTTATAGGTGGACCCAAAAGAAATACTACCTTAATCGGTGGGGCACCTAATTCAGGGCCATCAAAAATACCACCACGCGAACAGCGGGCTCCGTCGGAGCCAGATTGGGATGCTGTTGAAGTGCAGAAGAGTACAGGAACAAATATAAATAAAATAGAACCTCCACTCATACGTGATGGTTCCAATTTTGGTATAGGCACAGGACAACGGGATACATGGGGTGCAAATGATCATCATGACATGCCACCTCAAAGAGAAAAGCCTATTCCACCACCTCGTACAGAGGGTGTAGATCGACGTTGGCAAAATGATTGGCGGGAAGAGGAAGATGCGATGCACCGTGTTGCGTCTGTAAATAGTGGTGGTAATATTCCACCATCCATGCACCACCATCGAAGCGAGCGTGGTGGCAGAAATTTTCGAAGAGGGGGTGGGGCAGGAGGCCCAGAGCATGGAGATCGTAATGGGCAAGGGCTCCGAACGCATCCACCACCATTAATGACATTACCCGTGCAACCCCCTGCAACAGGTTTTCTTGGTGGAAATCCTCGGTTTCCCAATAAAAGTAAAATGACGTACACAAATCCAAACATAATCAAGAAGCAACATGCTGCTATGGCCGCTGCTAAAGCTGCACAAGCTAGCGCTGTAGCAGCTGCAAGCACAGCAGTAGCAGCTGCCAAAGCTGCTGCACAAAGCGCTGCAAATGCTACGACCAATCCAAGTATACTAGGACAGGCCAGCAACTTGATACGTCAGCAACATGAACCGTTTATCAATGATGACAAGCCGGAAGCCGGAGAGATTTTACACGATGCTGATAGTAACAAAAACTTGGATTTAGGAGTCACAACTAGAAATGTCGAATTAATGCTCGGAAATCCTGCAGTGGGTGATGATAGAGCAGCCGGTGAATTAAGTGAAATAAGTGATAGCGATGATGACATACTTAATAAAGGGGATAAAAAGTCTAGAACTGAAACAGATGAGGATTGCACGGTAAAAGTTGATGGTATTTCCGAACAGGAAGATTTGACACGCAGTAACGATGATGCAGGAATTGTAGATGAGAAAAATGAAGATGACGAAATGCTTGATTTCGAGGAAATTTCAGATGGAGAGTTGGAGGAAGATTCGCGTAACAAAGGTGTGTAATATTTAACGCTCAATAATTCTTAAAAACATTTTCCTTTATTTTTGTTTTCGTTAAAAAAAATCCAATTTCAGGAGTAGGAGATGCTCTTGGTGTTGACTGGGCCTCACTAATTGCTGAGACAAAACTTCAAGCAGAAAATGCTGTTCCCGGAGTTAATGAACAACCAACAACAGCAAAGCAAAAGTGGCAACCGCACCGTATTATTCTTGACATGGGAATATCATTGTGTATGGCAGGTGAAGATTATGCAAAGAAACTATTATCTGAATCGAGACAAAAATTAGATGAAGAATTGAAAGAAATAAGCCAAAAGGTCACACTAGAAGGAAATACAGTGTCAGTTAAAAAAGAGAATGATGAAACTAAGAACAATACTTTGGAACATGCCCTGGATATCAAAGAGAAAGTCGATATTAAAATGGAACCGGTGAACGATAAGCCCGTAGATGAAATGGATGACGAAGTTTCATTCAATTTTGACAGTTTACAACCACTCGCTTGCCTGCAAGTTGGTGAACGTAAACAACGCCTGGAACGACAAATTTTAATCTCAAATGCATGTGGCACTCATAGTCGAGCTTTGAGCGCTCGACAAGATTTAAAATTAAGAAGGCAGATATGCAATTTACCAGCACGCGATTGTGATTTATCCAAGCCGCCACCCATAAATGCTAAAATAAAATCACTGGCTCTAGCAGCATTTCAACGTACATTAGAAGTAAAATAAAAACTCAAATTTGTCAACAATTATATTATATATACATGTGTACTCTGTTTTTCTTCATAAAATAAAGCTAAATATTTACAAAAATTAATTGGTATTGTATATCTGCATAACAAAATGTAGGCGGCTCAAATTAAAACTATAATGAAATATGTAAGTCTCCAGAATCCATATATATATTTGTTGTATCTTAGGATATTTATTAAATTTTATATCTATATAGTTTCTTTATATATTTTTTGATTTAAAAATGTTCAGCTCGCTGGTTTGTTCAGCCAATAGGTCTAAAAAAATTTCCATTTTTAAATTACACATATTATTTTCCTCTTCAAGCGTTTTTATGCGTCGATTCAAACGTGTTACATCATCGGTATCTATTTTGCGAGTAGAATGTATCCATATTCCGTCAGCAAAACGCAACTCTTTGCTACCCAAATTAAGTGAAATACTTTTGAATTCATCTAAATCTTCACTAATAGCTGGGCAACCGGTATTACAGCGTACCGAACGTGGCGGTATTGGTTTTGATTCATATTTCTTCGTAAAAAGTGGCATTGTTTTAAAGCTAATTTGTACTATAACACCTATGTATGTTTACAGAACACTAATATAATTAAAATGTAATATCGCAAGACATGTTGTCATAACAACGGTGAATTTAGGAAACATAAAACGCACACAATATTTGGGGGTTGATTGAATTTGATTTGGTACGGTTGACAAAGGATTAGATGGCATGAAGCTAGAGCGCACCGCGTAGTATGTGTAATTGTAAATTGCAAGCCACCAATTCAGGTGTAAATATAAGAAATGTGCAATATAACATTGCTCAAATATGCCGGAAAAAGAAAACAAAACCGCATCATCGGCCCATTATGAGTAAGCATTGTTCTAATTTATTAATTGCACAAAATAACAAATGAAACACTTTTATAAGTGTCACAAAAACTTTTTTAGGCAATTAGATGAAATCAAGAAAACCTGTGAAAATTTAATCAGTCAAACACAGACTGAATTGGCACTTTTTACGGTATGTCAAACGAGACGCCTCAAGACGTTATTATATAATACATTTGTGCGTTTTATTAAGTTTCTTATATTTTTAACTGTAAAAAACTGCCTAACGTAACTGACGCACAAATGCAGCATGAACAGCTCCATTTAAGAAATCAAATAGACGATATATTAGCCGAAAATAAAACAATAGACAAGAAGCTGGAAGCTCTTAAAACAACAACTGTCCAGATTACCGGAGAATCCAGGGATGATGCCACGAGGGAAAAGTTTACAAATGATGCATTACTGAATATTAAAAAGCAAATAGATTCTCTGGAAGCGGTGAGTTCAATCTTCGAACACATGAGATCTAAAGAGGCTTGTTTAAAAACTTAAATATAATTATTATTTCAGGAAAACAATGAATTGAGGTCTCTAAATAAGAGTTCACGGAAAAGGATACAAATTCTCGAAAGTGAAATTCAAAATTATAGAAATTATTTATGTGAATCGAAAACCGTTGCGGAGGTAAGGTAACAAGTTTATAATATATGTATGTACATACATAGCTTCAAATGAGTGAAACTATTTCGTTTTATCATTGGTTAATATTACTTATTGATTTTGCATAAAACATAATAAATATCAATTACATATTTTTATGTAAATATATATGTAAATAACATACATAAATATGTCAAACTTTGTAAAATCAAATTTATACTTCGTTGATAGTTTCCGTCAACAGGATGCTGTTTGAATACAATATTTTCACAATTTTTATACAAAAATATATGAGACATTTGTGTTCTATTACAGATAAAGAAAAAGTATGAGACTGCTATGTTAGTTCTGGAAAATACCATTCAAACACAAAAGACGCAAATTACAAAGCAAACACAAGTCATCGAAAATCTATTCCAGCAAAAGGATCAGTTAAATAAACATATTAAAAACCTCGAACAAGGTATAACAACAAGCTCTTTAAATATATATACACCATAATAATTTTTCACTAACAAGAATTCATTGTAACATTAATTTTAATCAGAAAAAGAAACTGCGAACAGTGCAACTACAACGGGTACAATCGAAAAACTTAAAGCCAAACTTAATGAGTCAACACGTCAAACGAAGGAGCTTCAATTATCTCTAAAAATGGCTAAAGGAGTAATCGAAGAACGTTATGAGCGTGAAAAATGTGCCCTACAAAAGGTACAAGAAGCGTTATCAATAGCTGAAGCAGCGGTGGTGGACAAGGAAGATGCACAGAAGCGAGAGCAAGTTGTTAAAGAGGAATGCGATAATTTGGCATCTACCATCGGCCAAGTCATGGACGAAGCAGCGAAAAAAGTAGACCAGGACATGGATGAAATGCGTAGAAAATTTAGTGAAAAGGAGCGTAGCCTATTGGAATTTCAGTTGCATGTAAGTTATAAATAAAAAAAAATTATAGAGATTATTATTTATAACACAAACGTTAATCAGATGAAGGAAGAAATAAAGAACCAAAAGAGGTTCAACCAAATACTGGAGACACGTTGTAACAGATTTCAACAAAAGTACAAAGACAGTATGAAGGAAGTTGAAAATTTAACACAACAGTTGGAAAGTGCAGTTAAAGCGTTGGTATGTAAAATCGACATTGTAATTCAAAAACACTCTATTAAAAAATATAACATTTTTTAAAGGTTGAAATGGAGAATAAGATAAGTAAACAAGAAAGTCTACAAAAAATATTAATGAAGTAAGTTATGAGTATATTGTTGAAAATCTTAATCATTTTATTTAATGCAGGCGTGCCGAAGAAAAGGAAGATGTAATTCAGAATTATATTAAAACGAATACGAGATTGAAAGAGGAGTAAGCATACACAATTAATGATAAATCTAGTTATATAGTTGCACGTAAGATGTTTTGAGTTTACAATAGTATTTAGAGTTGAGTAAAATATCGCAAAACCAGATTACACACAACTGTTACTTTGAATAATTATACCATAGGGTATATTAAGTTGCCAAGAAGTTTGTAACACCCAGAAGGAAAAGTCAGAGATCCTATAAAACATATATCTATATACATACATATATTAACTATACCATACTTGGGTATATAAAAAATAATAGCTTCCGTCCAACCTATGTTCAAGCTTTTTCTTGTTAATATTAATTTCAAGTTGATTCAATTGTTTAAAAGTGAGAATATGTAATGATCTGTAAATGTCGTTATGTTATAATATATAAATATTTATTTTTACAGATACAAAAAAACGCTCTCGGACATAACAAAAAAATTTGAAAGACAAATTTATTATCTACAAAATGAAATTGCTAGACTCAGGGCTAAATACCATTTAAATTCAGAGGATAAATAATATTTATTTCAAGTTATGAATAAAACGTATACAAATTTATATTTAATTGTATGTATTCTTTTATATTAAACGACAATATTTTTAAGCTTTGCAAATTTATAAGTGAACTAACCAGAACTGTATATATTTTATACTTTTGTATACATACATATTCAATAATGTGCTAAATATACGTGATTATCTACATTTATGATCAATAAAATAAGATAAATATTTAAACTGATTGCGCATACCGTCCAGGAAATAAACTTGGAAACCAATAGCTCAAATGGTTATTTTCTTCATCCTGCTCGTCCACCCAGCATAAACCTTCACTTACTGTTTTATCGAGCGATTGCTTTGCGCGGAAATCACTCCATCTACAATGAAAATTTGCATTTAAAAATATTTTACAGAAAAATTATGTTTATCCTACCCCAGTTCCTCAGTTAGCATTTTCAGTGTTACGTAACCCTTTTCTGTATTGGAAGCAGCCGTTAGGATTTTAGTTTCATCCATGCTCAGTTCACCTGGTATTGATTGCACCATGTATTTCCCCTTGCCCACTTTATATACCACAAAACTAACAAATTCTGTATAAGTATATGTAGTAACTACAAATAATTTTAAAACTCTTACCCATTCCCAAATATACTTAATTTTTTGGCTGCCATCAAAATGTCTTCGTTTGTGATCTCTTGATGTACTGCACTCACACCTCGTGCTGCTATAAGCCGCCTACGCAGTTCATTTAATTCTATTAATCCACCTGCAAAAAATATGGTTAAGTAATGTTCACCCCAATTAGTTATATTTGGTGTCAACATTGTCAGTTTAAATTATAAATATACAAAATTCAAATATTCTTTCATGCAAACCACATGAATATCCTGTAGACTAATTAACGCAAAACCTAAAAAAGAATCGCCCTGAATGCTTTTAATTAAGTTTATAGATGAAAATATAGCGACCAAATTGAATAATTAGAATAACAAACTATATTTACCGGTTTTATGATTAGCTGCTAAACAAACTTCGACGACCTGCACGCTTAACTCGTAATAAAAGTCACCCATTCCAAGTACGCTCCAAAAGCCTTTGCCTGTAGCAAGAGGATCCACACCTATTGCTGCGCACATTTCCTGGAATTGTTTACGAAATTGGGAGTTCTTGCGAATGTCTGTCTTGTGTTTTACAGCAAATTCTTCCAGTTTTAAACGAAAAACTTCCATTTGTTTGGACATTTGTTCAAATTGTGATTCCTGTATATCACTGCCTTTGTCTTTATATTTTTCAGCCGCCAATTGCTGCTGTTGTATGGCTCCTAGTCCAGCTCGTCGACGCATTTCTGATTTTTAAACTTATAAGTTATAAATAAAATTGATGTATATTTACAAATAAAACCTAATTTATTTCCATATAAGATGGCGTTTACATGGGGATTCTTTTGTCGCTCATTATCAGTAAATTCTCTTTTGGTGTCAAGTGGGTTCATACGAGGGAAAAAGAGTCCAGCAGCTCGAGTAGAGTTTTTCTCCTATCATTTTCATTGTGTGTGCGGTACGGTAACGCGACAATTAGAGCGTGTTGTATAGGTCATTTTTATGTTAGTTAGATCACCAACGGGGTTAGATCGCCGAAAGGATGAAATCCGAATCAATTCCGGTACGTAGAACCGGCTGTCGTGGGAATTTATGTTGGTCTCACATTTTGCTTAAAAGGAATTACCAAGAATGTGGCAGAAGATTATGTATAATACAACGATATTAATGTTTTCGCCCACAAAAAATCGGTTTGGGCGACAAAAAGGACGGTGTGAACCGGCAATAACCAAATGAAGGAAACAGCTGTTTGTACCTTACCAAGTTGCCACTAGTTGGAATATATCTAATAATGGTGCGAATAGACTTCACGTTCAACTGCTAAACACAACTTATTGGAGAAAAGGACAAGTGCAAAATTTTAAATCGACATCTTAAAATATGAGGGCCTAGTTCACGATATGCATACAGAATACAGATGGGCTAAAATACCTTGTTTAGGGCATATAATGAGTCACGCAATCACTGAACCATAAATGTTCTTATAATTCAAAAAATATATTAAAATTTAGTAAGAGGTTTCGCCGAGGTTGTATTTTATAATTTCTATTAAAATCTATTCAAACAGAATACTTCTTTCTTTAAATTCTATACAATTGCTATAAAATAGGAACTCTACTCTAAATCGTCATGCGTAACAGGCCACTTGTACTGACACATAGATGGCGCTCTTCGAAGTAAATCCATGATTTTTAGTTAATCCTAACCATGAAAAGGCGCGTGTATAAATTGGACAGTTGTTGGATCAGTAGTTTGTTAATTATTTCATTTTGAATTAAGCAACTTTTGTAATTGTGAAAAAATGGATAAAAATTAATTTCGCGTATTGGTAAAATATTGCTTTTTGAATGGAAAAAATACAGTTGAGGCAAAAACTTGACTTGATTACGAATTTCCGGGCACTGTACCATTAATAGCAACCATCGAGGATACGAATGATAAGTTTAGACGTGGTGAAATGAGTACCGAAGATGGTGAACGCCCTAAGTGGATTGCGAAAACTTAGACCCATTTCGAGACAAAGGGCAAACCTAACTAGAAAAATACAGGGTGGCTTCATCCTTAAAGGGAAACTACGTTGAATAAAAGGAAAACGAATTTTGCAAAAAATATGCTTCAATATGGTTGACGTGTGACTTTTCAATTAACATTTTAAATACATAAATACATCAAAACTTATCTGGGCGAGATGCAACTTAGTTTTATAATAGTATGTAGATGTTTACTTTAGTCATTATTTGCATTTAAACAGATGTACTACTTTACCTTGCAATAAATGTGTATACTTATTTACTTTCTTAATGTAAAGTGCCTTTAACAACATCCGATTGTAGTGAGCGGTTAATGCATTTTCTATGTAATTAAAGATGTATTTAGTGAAAATCATTGTAAAACAAATTTCACTTAAAGAGCAAAAGCGTATATAAAAAGTCCGCGCTCTGCATTTCTGTCACATATTTTGAATAAGAACATTATAAAGCTGTTCACAACACAATAAAGATGAATTTTTATAACGGTAAGACAAATACTTTTATGTATTACTTGTCACATTAATAATAAAACTATTGTTATACGGATGTGTTTACTTTCGCCAACGCAAGTACCCCTTATGCTACTTCTGGTCTTGACTGCTCCAGCAGCATTTGCAATGCTTGGAAATGGTCAACCTAATTGTACCACTCAGGAAGAAATTGATATTCGCATATTTCGTAACAATTGGGATCCAACTTCCTATTGGATATGCGAAGAACTGAACGAGCCGGCTATTTTAGGACGATGTCCCGAACAGATGGCCTATCTGGACAGCGTCAAGGACTGTGTTAGTTGGGACGACTGGCAATGGGAGCAACCTGCAGATCCTTTGACTGCTGTAGAACAATCGTAATTCCTTTCAATTCAATGCTTGAATAAAAATAACAATTTCAGAATCCAATACGTAGATGTACTTCCTTTTAATACAAAAGTTATACTTACAGCACCAAGTTGCTATGAAAAATATCCTTTAGAAATGTTACACTAACCTTACCATATAAATGAACAAAACAAACTTACCTCTCTTACTAAATACCTATGCATACGCACGTCACCATTTCCAGAATCCATTTATCCATAATATTTTGTAAATTGCTTAACTCTTCATCTCGTTAAAATATATAGCTTGTGTGGTATTAACGTTTATTTGTTGCCGCCAATTGGCTTATCTTTATGGCATTAATCTTACAAAAATGAGGAATGCGTACATTTTATAAACTCATAATAATGGTCTTCAAATTAAATAATTATAAAATTATAATATCAAATATTTCAATGCAGGAATATCTCACATACATACGTATATAGTAGTAAAGTTAGTTTGCTTGCATTTTTTCATATTACAATTAAAAACCAAGTAGTAAAATTATTTTATTTTTCACAACTTCACTCGTCAGTATTTGAATAAACCAAATTATAAATTATAATTACTATTTATTTTATTTTTATGTGGCAAACTACATATATAGTACATAATTTCATACATAAACGTTAAATATTCATAGCTGAAAAGTTTAGTAAAAATTTTTGGGAGGCTGTCGGATTAAGTGGTAGTAATAATAGTAGTGTATGGTTGAAAATGTTAATAGTATGTCTAATCGTCCATACTCTCATTTCTGTCAGGTGAGGCATTTCCATTTTTCGGTGACACAGACCGCGAACGGGAACGCGATTTGTTGTCGGGCGAGGCGGAGCGGTCGCTGAAACGTCACGAACATAAAAAAATGTTAAAATTAGCAGGGATGCTTTGGAATTTTGAAAAAGGTAGTTGCGTGAGTTAGATTAATTTAACCAAAATACTCAAAATTAAATGCTTTCCAGAATATTATTTATTTCGGTTTAAAAGGACAGCAATCCAAAATAAACAAAAATAAGACGAAAATAGTAGTAAGAAAAGCGAAATAGAATAAAAAGAAATTAATTGAATCTTTAAAGTGCATGTATATGCTGACGTAAATACTTACCGTGATCTGGAATCTCGTCTTGATTTAGACCGAGAGCGAGAACGAGATTCACGCTTCGACACTGACCTCGAACGTGAACGGGAATCACGCTTAGGAGAGCGTGAATGTGAGCGGGACCTCGATTTAGATTTAGACTTGGATATTTCACGAGATTTGCTATAAAATACACCAACGAATTAATTTTTGGTATTAAAACATTTTTGAGGGTAGTTACTTAGAACGAGATCTCGAACGTGATTTCACTGGTGACTTAGACTTTGATCGTGCACCACGTGACTTGGAGCGACTACGAGATTTGGAGCGCGACCTTGATGAACGGCGGGACCTGGAGCGTGAACGTCTGCGAGAACGGGATCGTGAACGTGAACTCGAAGACCGAGACCTTCCACGTCCTCCACCACCACGACCTCCGCGACGATCTTCAACTAAAGTTATACGACGGCCATTCAACTCTGTATCATCCAGTTTTTCAATTGCAGTCTTCATATCCGACAATGAGGCAAACTCCACAACGCTGTTATATAAAGTTATTGATGAACTTTAAGTCTTACTCCATGATTTTTACATCCTTACCCTTCATTGCGGCGTTGTTTATGTGCATCAGCATAGGTAACTTCTCCTGCTTGTCGCATGTAATCTTTCAGATCCTAATTACATTAAATTGACCAATTTTTTTAATTACCGGAAAGGGAAATATTAGGAAAAAGAGAACCTTTACTATATATCTTTAACTTTTTTCTTAAAAATCGGTTATGAAAGTAATTTAAAGAATTTGCTGAAGAAGCTAACAGTGAGTGTTGAACAAGAGCGGATTCGTGTAGAATGCGCTATTAATATTAGCCTTGTCGAATTCGTCGAGATATTCAAGCTCCGTGTTACGTTTGTTCACAAGCCAAGTTCTCACATTCCCCTCTTTGGTTTAAGATCAAATCCAGTGTACAACACTCAGCTCAGAAAAGTTCAGGACTTCAGCAAATTATACTTGATCTCATCATGTCATCAGAAACATTTTGCAGATGAGACCAAGTCAAAGTAAAAAAAAAAGACTTTCTTTGCATAAAACTATATCATATACATATATTAAATAATACGTTAAAAGTATTGCAATTCTTACTTAATATCACATCAACAAAGTCGCTTTTTGTCAGTAATACTTTCACTGTATATCAAATGTATTTGTGACCTCAATATAAAGCGTGATCAACGTAGGCAGCGGTTGCATATGGTACGTGGCGCATAGGACCCTCAGATGTGTGTTCGAAATTTTTTCAAGTGTATAAAATCTCAGCAAATTGGCACTATTCAAATGCTCAAGTTAAGTCGCTTAATTAGTTACATCCAACGAATACGTAAATATATGCACCTCGTCTACCGTCTTTTGTGAAATTTCGCACGCTTATCTCACGTAGACATTGTGGGTTGCAAAGATAACTCTAGTGTGACTATGCGGACGATAACGGTTTGGTCGAATCATTATTACTTCTTGAAGAGAAGCATCTGAACACAGACTCTGCAAGCACATAGGTACGTCACTCAAGTATATACTCGCTATAAAAAAGGACTTCCGGTAGCAATTTTTATAAGTGTGCCTCGTTGCGTTGTTGCACATGCGAACAAGAGAACCCAATCTATAAGTGGCTTAGATTAGGGCCGCCATAAGACATCGGAAACCAGTTATGCCTTTTCGGAAATAATGTTTCTTCTACTGTAAATAAAGGGAAATGAGTTCAGACCTCCAGAATGGAGGTATGATGATGCACTCTCTTGACTGCCACCACCCATCAACATCGCATCTAGGTTTGACTGTTGGTTTGCTGATATTTTCTACGGTCCCTCATCACCAGAAAGAACTATTGGTAGGCCGGTTAGATACGGTTCAGTCGACGACATCGATGTTCTACATTAAGTACCACCTAAGCAGTAGACCAGTTATAGGACATCTTTTGCACGTCGCTAATTTTTGGACAAGGAACAGATTTAATAGCCATAGTCAGAGCATATCAAAGCCTGGGAAGCACGTTTGCTGAAGCCGTCAGAAGCGTCATTAGGAGCATTAGAAGCTCTATGGCACCACTCGCACACCATTCGTAATCGCAATCGTTCGGAAGGTTTGTCCGACAGGCTCTACGTTGGTACGACACTCTGTGATTATTTTGCAATCGCTATACGCTATAAGGAATTCGACAATTCTAAAATTAAATCATTTTTAATACATTTTACTTTCTTAATATATGTACCTAATTTTAAAAAACCAGCGCATTCAGTTTGTACATTTAAAAATTTCATATGCACCAGACATCGAACTATATAATTGCAAAGGCAGAAAATTATATATCGAATAATTGCGTTTCTTGTCCGCTTCTTCAGCTCATGTGCCTTCATTAGGTTGCTCTGACATCGATCACGATTCTTCTACCGTTATTTTTATATTAAAGATGTTTTTTAACCCTATCTCTGTGAGTGCTCCAAAGTCCTGGCTAAACATTTTTAAGTGGTGGATGTGGTTGTTTATTTTTCCTTGCTCGAAGCCCAAAAATTTTATTAGAAGCGAATTATTCCCAAATTCGATTTTGCATTCGGTCGCATTAAAGGAACAACATCATGACCATCTCAGGAACCGGATGAATGTTAACAATCTACCTCCAAGAATGGCATTTTTGTTCGTGTGCCTTCAGTCTCTTAAGAATTGGTATTGTAAGTGATTGCAATTAGGATGAGTCCTCATATATCTTTCACACTGCAATGGCCGCCTTTCCCGCCTTAAAATCAGGGAGGTCGCATGAGTTTTCTAGTGAGCAGCCAGCCAAGCCAAGCGGATTGATTGCTCTTGTACTCATAAACAGTTCACATAAATTCTTCTCAAATAAATACTCTTAGCTTCATCTTTCAACCAAGGTGATGATCTGTCAGTCAACCCATTAGTGGCATTTCTTTCGTATAGAAAAAATAATTTATCGGATAACACCGGTCAATTAAGCATTTATAAACAAAGATACTATTTGAAGGAAATATAATTTATTGCAAATGTAGTTAAACAAAGTACATGCTAAAGACGCAAAAAATTGTTAATCAAACTAAAAAAAAAATAACGAAAAAAAGGCCTCTAATCCTGTGACTTTATATATTCATTAAAACCTTTATTAGCCGTGTTTATTTTGCATTCCCTTATCACGTTTTAAGAATTGATTAAAAAAAAAAATAACCGACATATGTATTGACCACACCCCTATAGGAATTGTTTTAAAGCTAACCAAACTACCTTATTTAAAAGCGTTATATTAATAGATAAATATGTCACACACATCTCCTATATTAACAAAACATTTTGATACACAACGAATGTGCAGAACTTTTAAAGCTAGCACTATACCTTAAGCTTTGTGATAAAGTACATACCTGCCAACTAACGCGGCTCGATAAATTCTCCACAATTAGACGGTACTCTGTTCGTAACGGCGGTCCATAACGAGAGGATGATCTGGAATTTTTGTTTCTGGTGAATAATTTAATGAATTTATAATTAGTTGTGACACTGCTGCTGTTACTGGACATGTATTTCTAATTATATTAGACATGTGTGGTTCAATTGACAACATAAAGCAGAGCAATTATAATAAAAAATTAGATTGCAGCAAGTTTTACAATGCAAAATCTATTTTATACATATGTATATATTACTTTCAATTTTAACAATCCCTTATTAGTCAGGATATATTGCCAGACTACAAATGCAAAGTTTATGTTGAAACTTCCCTTGGATAAGGTAAAAAAAAATAATAATAATAAAGCACCACAAAACGACATTGTAGTTCTAACCTCATTAGCCGCTTTTACCCTTTTGTATATATAAATATAATTATATGTATGTATATCCCTGTCTCTTATACACATCTAGATGTGTATAAGAGACAGCAGGACATATTGCCAGACTACAAATGC